GTAACTAATACAAAATTCTAATCTTGTTTCGAGTCCAACTCAATTTTCCTTCATGTACAAATGTGAATCGTCATAGACGGAAGTCAAGACATGATAGAACGAATTATGTGAGCAACCAACCATTGCAACTTATCAAATTTGAGTTTGGACTGTGTTATAAATTAACTCACATGATGTAGAGAAAAATATACACAGAAAAGAGTTTAAAAAAAAAAAAAAGGGCTGCCAAATGTAATGAAGGAAGAATGAAAGAATAGGATAGGAAAATGAGTGCGTCTATTGTGTAGAAACAAAATAGCAAATGAAAGTAACAACAAAGAAACCGATTGCTATGTTAATTATGCTCAGAAGCTCTGACACCACTTGTTTGAAATAACCAAAATATCTCTTGTTAGAAGAAATATTAATATGTTCGGATCACTGTTACCAATGTTAGAAATACAAGAATTATGTATTGTTTAAATACCACTTGATGAAACCAACAATCGGAATGAATTGTTAAATTATATGACAAATAATGAAGTATTAGATCAAGCAAAAGAGGATCAAGAATAATGGAGAAGAGATAAAATTTCAATGAATTTTATAATTCTAGTAATCTATTTTTTCATAATATAAAATTGTATAGAAGAGCTTAATATTTATACGAGACATGTAGATGATGTCTAAACCCTCCTAATAGAGTTGTTGATGAAATAGGATACCAAAAAATCGAGTGCAAAACAAATTCCAATTCTCAAAGGGTTTTCAAAATAGAACGTCAACTTGACATACGACTACAATAGCATTCCAAGCTAATTTTTCTTGACATGTATTTCAATTAGAATTTTTCAATTACTTTAACAAGAAATTTGGATCACACCCAAATTCTAATAAAGATCAGGTGTAAAACGTTCTTTGAGTTAAAAATTGAATGCTAAATCATTTCTTTAACAATGCATGATAATTTTTTTTAATCAAAACTAATTATTGAATTGGGACTTAAAAATTACTACTTTTATCCCAATTTAATTTTATTAATTTTGACCAACTACCACAATTAAGCATATTTTAATATGGTATAGATTGTAATGGAGACCACATGATCTCTGGGGTGTAATGGAGACAAATTATTGTCTATCAGCGAGATAGAGATGGTTTAGAAAGTCGTGATACACGTTTAATTGCTTCTTTTTTGCAAGAGAAGTGCACGAACATGAAGAGACCATTAATTCTTTTTTTTTTCTTTTTTCTTTTTTCCTTCTTTTCTTTTGTTTTATTTAAATGGGGGCATATTCGTCATTTCATACAAATTTATTGAGAAAAATAAGAAAATTGGGTGTTCTGCACCACTAAGGTTTAATGCCCCGAAGATTTTATAGAATAAAATTATTTGTTCTATATACTAATTTAAGAAAAAGTTAATTCGAATAAATAATATTTAAGTTATTGAACTTCGAATAAGCTATCATTAATTTATATTTGATTAAATTGGTTATTGATTTATGGTATTGATGGGCAGCCACGCGATGATATAACTCTTTATACTTAGATTAGAATGAAAGTTTAATTAGTTATTTAATTTAATATAATTTACCCATTTGTTACTGTTTGACTAGAAAAACATATGTTTACGCAAATTCTTATCCAACTTTTTGTAAAACCATTATCCAAATTCTTGTACAAGACGGTCCCACTCCTTAGTGCATCAAAACTCAATTAGTGAATATTGTTAGCTCTATAAATAGTCATCCAGTTTCTACATATATGATATGACGATATGATATAAGAATTGATATTTTTATTCGAGATGCACAACATTCGTGTCCTACTGAGTATTCCCATATAACTCACCATTTTCTCTATATTAGAATCCCACATTGATTGGGAAAATATAAATGATCCACTTAATAAGGTGAGGGCAATCCTCCCCTAATAAGCCGGTTTTATTAGGTGGAGTTAGGCCCAATATTCCTAACATGGTATTAGAGTTAGGCCCAATTATGCAATGTTGGGTGCTAC